GGTTTAGGGTTTAGGGTTTAGGGTTTAGGGGGTTTGGCGCTTAGGGTTTGGGTCGCCTTCCGTCTGGCATACATGTCTTTGGTCCGAGCGTGGCCGCTCGATTTGCCTGCTTTGCCTGCTTTCTGATCAGGTGTTCGGCTTGCAGGTCGGACACCTGCGCGGCCCCGCAGAAGCGAGCTCTCTGCGCGACGTGTTCACTTTTTCTTGTCCATTGCGCGCTCCTGCTGGTGCTTTGCACAGGAGCTTGCTGATTCGGCAAGCTTCCGACGCCGGGCGACGCGCCGGTGCGTGCAAAGGGCCCGGGGTGCGTTCCGAAGGTTGTGCGAACCCTGCTTGGTGCACACTCGAGTCCGTTTGCTCGTCTCATATAGGGGTCGGAATAAGTACTAAGAGTATTCCCTTAAGGCCCCCTTTCTAATTACACTATAATAACCCCCAGAACCTTATTCTAACTATTCAGGCCCCTTAGAGTATTTGAAGCACGGCCCAAGCGTCCACAGCCCGTGGCTGCAACTCCTGGTACCTGGCCAGCCCGCTCGTCTTCGCGGCTTTCAAGCCTTCAACCCTTACGCCCTCTAACTCCCAACCCTAAACCCTAAACCCTAAACCCCAAACCCACCTTTAAACGGTTTGGCGTTGACGCAGTGCATCGTGTACCCACTCGTTTGCTTTGACTTCGACACGAGAAGTGCCAGCTTTGCCCGGGCCATGGGCGTGCTGCTTCCTCTTGCCACCGCTGTGCGAACAGCGCTTCCCCCTCACGCTGCCACCTTATCAAGTCGGGGCTCCTACTGTAACATTTTATACAATTTTTTAAACCTAGTTGTATACCAATTAATTCACCTACATCTATAGTTGATCTTGAACTTATATATTCTCCACCTTGTTCTACTGGTACCTAGCTTCACCTCCCCTCAACCTTCCTCCACACCCAGCTCACTTTTGCCGGACAAGGGAGAGTGCTCTCAGGCCAAGCACCGTCGAGCACAAGCAGAAAAACTTCGAGAGCACTTCAACTTGCCAGGTCTTAAAGGAAGGGGCTGCCTTCTATCCTGCTAAATGACCCCCTTACCGGACAATATCAGTAGGCAAGCTCCCAACCCTAAACCCGGAGGCAAACTCCACGAAGCGCAATGCCCTCAAATGGCAGCCGGCGGCCAACGTCGCGTGCTGCGTGGGCCCGATGTGATGGATTGTGCCCCCCATCTGCCCGCACCTACGGTCCTAGAGCACGAGCTCGTGAAGCCCTAAAGCCCACCCTGAACTACAAAGTTCTTAGAAGGGAATGAGGGAATGAGGTACCTTATGCCAACTCTCTATATCTACATATACCCTTGAAGTGAATTATACGGGGTACCTCGTCAGAGTTCAGGCCCTGACCCTTGCAGATGGAAAATGGGCAGAGGGGGACGACGGGGGCGTGGCCAGGCGCGGAGGCTCCGCCTACCCCCCCCGGCCAACGCCTCAAAGGAACCCGTGTCAGGCAAAACTGGACACAAATTAGAAACTCTCCAGGATTTCGTGACCGCCCCCCCTCGAAACCCTAACCCTCAACCCTAAACTGAAGGCCGGCCCCACTCCAAGCAAAGGGGCCGGCCGCAGCGGGCGGACCGGAAGGCGCCCGCGGACCGAGGCAGCCCACCGGAAGGGGCTGCCGTAGGTCCTGGACCGGAAGGTCCACGCGGCTTTGCAAAGGCCGCCACTCGCAGCTGTATAATGATAGCCCTAAACCCAGGTGCAAAGGACCGGGGACGCATAGAATCCCTTCGTGGAGCCTTGCTCCAAGGCCTTTTTCAAGCTCATGCGGGCCTTACCGGTGCTTTCTCGAAAGCCCCTCCGGCGCCTCTTCCAAGCCTCTCCCGGGCCTCTTCAGGGTTTCGGGGCCTCTCGGGGGCCTGTTCGGCCTCTCCGGCGCATGTCTGGGCTCTCCGGACCTTCTTCCGTCCTCTCCGGCGCCTCTTCGAGGCCTCTTGTCCGGGGGGCCTTTTCGGGACTGGGCCTCTCCGCGGCCTTTTCCGGCTTCTCCGAAACCTCCCCGCGGCCTTCTCCGCCATGTACCTTACGTTCGCCCTTAATTGAAGGATAGCAAGAGGTTATGTTCGCCCTTAACTGAAGGGCAGCTCAGGAAGGCAATGTACCTCATATTCGCCGGGGTAGCAAAGGAGGGCCGTGTACCTTGTCTTCGCTCTGAATGAGAATCGCGCGGAAAGGCTATGTACCTTGAAGGCTACCATACAGCATGTTCGCCAGTAATTGAAGGGTAGCAGGGGAGGGCCATGTACCTTATGTTCGCCCCTAATTGAAGGATAGCAGAGGAGGGCCGTGTGCCCTGTGTTCGCCCTTCATCGAAGGGTAGCAGAGGAAGGCCATGTACCTTCTGTTCGCCCTTAATTGATGGATAGCAATGCTAGAGGAAGGCCATGTACCTTATGTTCACCCTTTAATTGAACGGAATCGTACGCCGCGCCTGATGTTCGCCGTTCTGAAGGACAAAAGAAGAAGGTCGTGCACCTTATATTCGGTCATATTTGAGATAGCTTATATGTCTGTTCTTTGTTGCAGGACTACACAGGCGGGTATATTAGTATACTTCATGTTTGCTCTTGGCTGAAGGATTGCAGAGAAGGTCCATTTACCTTGCGTTCGTCTTAAATTGAAGGACTGCGCTGGAGGGCCATGTACCTCATGTTTGCCTTCAGGTGAAGGACCCTAGAACGTAGGTTCGCCCTTGATGCCTTCGTGGAAGGGCCACGGAATGATGCGCCAGCATGCTTGCACTTTTAGCTTTGATTCCATCGTCGTGTTGCTTTGTGCCACCGAAGAAGCTTACTCATGCGCAAATAGACGTCATACTTTATGCAGGTTTTCGCACGCTGTGGTTTCAGCAACGGCTGCCATCTCGGTGCATGCGCAGCCAATTTGTAAGGATCATTTAGAGTCTCTCAGATCACACGTCCTTTTCTTTGCACCTGCGTCGCCATGGGCAAATTCAGTCGCAGACCATTTGGAGGCAAAGGCGTGAAGAAGGATCGGACGCAGAAGTTTCCCGCGGGCGCGACCCTCTACAAGATGCTAATCAAAGCGATTTTGAGGAGTTGGCCAGACGAGAACGGTTGCATGCTGCTGACGGATAAACAGCCACCGACTGACTTCTTTACTTCGTCTGCTTTGCTGGAGCTGCTGACAGCGGAGACGTCTGAGTGCGTTGCTCGGCCTGGCCTGGGGGTCAGCATGGCAGCCGCATCTTTGGAGTCCTGCTCCGCGGCTTTGGCTGTGCTTCCGACATCCTCCGACAAGAAGTTCGGGCAAACAGGGATCCCTGCTGTCAAGAAGCTTCTGGAGTCCCTCAGCAACGCTGTGGCCGTGGCTAACGTGGCCAACGCGGCGTGCTCGGATGCGTCTTCTTCGAAGTCGCATATTGAGAAGATGATGAAGGCGCTCGGCAAGAAGGATTGCTTGAAACAGCGACTGAAGGATTTTGCCAGACTGGCAGACACAGCCTCGAGAATCTATGCAGGTGCTACGGCAGGCATGGAGCTTGCTGTTCTGGCGGCTAACCCGAAAGCGTGGGCCAAGAAGATTCCGGAGGAGAAGCAGGACAAGGCCATCTGCAAGTTCGTGCGCAAGAAGACGCTTGAGAGTCTGGGGGAGGCTGTGGCGGTGACCAACGCTGCCCGCTTGGAAGCCAAAGCTCCACGCAAGAAGCGGACTTTTGGAGACAGCAGTGCTGCAGCGCCCAGCCAGGAAGACTCCAGCTCCGAGTCCGACAAGAACTCCGATGGCAAGGAGTCTGGCAGCGGCAGTGACGAGAAGTCCCGCTCTTCGTCTTCCGACAGAAGCGCCAGAACGAGGCACCCAAAGAAGCCAAAGAAGCCAAGGAAGCCCAAGTCTGCCAAAGCCAAGCCACGGGAGCGCGCAGGGCCAGAGAGGCCGGCTGCCGTAGAGCTCTCTTTGGATGATGAAGAGGATGAGGCTGCAGATGTTTCGCCTGACTTGCATCTCCTCTCCTGGGAAGAATCTGAAGTGGCCAAGTTTATCGCAGAGTGTGAGACCATGATCGCCAACCAGGACAGCAAGAAGGACAGGCTCCCCCTGTCTGCGCTGGTTGCGCTTCTGGACAACGTGCCTGAAGCTGTGCTGGCAGAGAATGGCCTTGCAAAGCCGCTGCAGACGTTGAAGCAGATGACGCGGTTGCCCAAGAAGGAGAAGCTCATCGGCATTCTAGACAGTACGCAGAGGATGGCCGCCAAAGCTAAGAGCGCTCATGAGCAAGCACGTGTGGACGCTGGCTTGCCAGCAGCAGACGACTTGGGAGAAGGAGGGCCTGCAGACGCGGCGGAGGTCGTACAAGATGACCGCGAGTAGCTTGCTAGGCCCCACACGCGCAGAAGCGGTTTCGCGGCTGCACAAAGAACAGGTGCAGCCCGCCTTCTGAGTGACTTGTACAGAACTCAGCAAGTCTTCCGATCGGCTGAAGATGCGTAGCTTGGAGATTTGCATTACAGTAGCTGCCGTCCAGGCTTTCTTCTGTGCAAAAGTTGAATCATTCAGACAACTGGAGCAAAAGGCATGGGCTGTAGGACGGTTCTCAGTGCAGCTGTGTATACAGGGATTGCACGTGCTGCGTGCTCACCTTATGTTCGACATTAACAGAAGGAGTACAGAGGCCATGGTGTCCAGCTGCGGCAACTGTACACAGACGTAGCTGACGTTTTGCACCGGCAGTAGGTTTACCCTTGCTTGCTTGCCGCTCTTGCTTGGCTCCAGCTCTTCAGTAGTAGATCGACCTGTTTGTTTGATAGCTAGGAGTTCGGCCTGAGCAGCCATGCCTCGTATGTGTCCTGGCAGCGCGGACTCCCCTTGCTGCTTCTCAGCACATGAGCCAGGCCGCGCCGCTCAGAGGCAAAGCTATGCTACGTGCGCCGCTTGGCTCCTGTAGCAGACGTTTGCTCGGAGACTTGCTCTAATAAAATTACAAACAAGGACTGATAGCAGAGCAGATGTATGTGGCCGCGTCTCACAAGCATTGGACTAAGGTTATCTGCGACCCAGCACGCCTGGCAGACGCTTGTCTTCTGCCACAGTCGCGCGGCTACGTCAAGCGCTTGCTGTTGGCCCTTGCGCCCGAGTACCAGCGCCTGGCCTTGGAACGTGTTCCCGAGGAATTCCGCAGGTACTTCGAGACGGAGCTTGCCAAGCCACGGATCTGCGTTGGCATGGACGGCGAGCGCTGCACGTTTGCATTGAGCGCACGTGGAGGCCCCGCGCAGGTCAAGGGCCGCGCGGCTCGCTGCGTGTTCTGCCGGCCTGAAGACCTGTGGCCAATGTGTGAGGATGAAGCCGGCAAGCGGGAGGCCGGGATAACTGCTTTTTAGACATTTAGATTACACGCGTAGAATTGAGAATGCTTTTTGGCTTTTGCTGTGAGCAGGTGTTGGGCAAGCTTCGTCGCATGTCAGCGGCCGGCCGCAGCCGTGCACTGGAAGAGCGCCTGCCCCTGGAAGCGCAAGCTTACTTCCAAGAGCATCTGCAGGGCCCTGCACCGAAGCGCGCAGCTGGGCGGGGCCGACGCCCGCCCACCGTGCAGGAGCTGCCAGCGTTGTGGAAAGGTGCTCTGGCAGCTCGCCAGGCGGCCTCGGCACCTGCTTCGGCTGCAGCCAAGAAGAAGTATCGGGAGCAAGTGCTGGCGGACCGGGCCCGTGCGCGGCGCCGCATGGGCCAGCCCCTCAAGCGGACTCCGGCGGGCGAGGCTGTGGAGAACACCTCGGGACTGCCGCCGGCGAAGCGCCGCTGTTTGGCCGAGGATTTCGAGCGCTGGTGCGTCTATGACTCCTGGAGCATGTGCGACACTTGCGGCTTCCTGACACCGCGCGACCTGACACAGAGCACGCTGACCAAGCCGCAGAAGCCGACACATGCCTCCGGCAAGTGTCCCAGGTGCAGCGCTGCACGCGTGCAGCCGAGCGTGACCGTGGCAGATGTGCCTGAGGTGTTGAGGGAGCTCTCTGCCGAAGCCGCTCGTGCGCTGTCGCCTTTGGAGATCGACGTCGGCCCCATCGTCCGTGCCGAGCACAAGTCTGGTTACCGGCAGAAGGTCACCATGATCCGCTTCCGCTGGGAGACGGCTGGCATCAAGAGGCGCATCAAGCTCTTACAGGCCGCTCGGTCATAGCTTCGCTTGATATGGTTCCAAAGCCTATATATGTACACTCATTCCTTACTTATCGCTGCCAGGATCCGGACATGCGGAGAAAGGCCCGCGCCGCCTACGACTTCCTGATGGCCTCGGACGACACGCCCTACTCCGACTTCGTGGCTGAGCACGACAAGTTTCTGCAAGAGCATCCTGGAGCAGATGACCTCGCTCGCCGTCGTCGCCTGCAGTTCATCGAACGCATTGGGGTCGAATGCGCTTTGTGGCCACGCTTGTTCTGGGACATCAAGATGACCTTCACCCACGAGCGTGCCACAGACCCGCGGAGGGTGATTCGTCAGGAACACGCGGCCACCTTGGAGGACGTGCTGAACGCTGATCAAAGCGACGAGGAGACGGAGGACGGCCAGGACAATGAGATGTTCAGCGAGGGGGAGGAGCCCAAAGACGACGGTGCCACGCGGCACAGCATCAAGAGGCTCTTCGCTGCTCTGGCGCTGGGCAAGCTCTTGGGCTACGCGGCCGACTTCGAGCTGCTCCAGTTCGCCTACGATCTGAACCTCTGGAGCAGCATCGGCTCCAAGAAGAACTTGCAGCTGGCGGTGCCCATGCGCTTGATGCTCAAGGGCGAGGCCTTCAGCCCTCACTACTGGCGCGGCGTACATTATGCCTTGCTGGATATGGTGCGGCAGGTCGGCTATCCGAGGATCTTCTTCACCATTGCCCCCTACGAGTGGAGCTTCCCCTACCACGAGTGGGTGCGCGACGAGATGCAGAAGATGCTCAAGGAGCGGCTCTTCCTGCCAGCGGCGGAGACACTGCACATGGTTCACGTCATGGTCCAAGCAGTGAAGGGCTTGCTCCTTGGCCGCACAGGGGGACAGGGTCGGCAGCAAGCGTGGCAAAGCAACCTTTTCCACGTTGTTGATGAACACGGTCAGGCCCGCCGTTTGCACTTCTTCTTGCGGCTTGAGTATCAGGACGGGACCCGTAAGGCGGCCACTCAGGACTACCACGGATCAGGCAGGGTCCATGTCCACGTCGTCATCTTCGTGCGGCCAGAGGACGTCGAGCAGCTGCGGCTGGACGAGGTCGCGTCTGCCACGCTGCCCGAGGACACGGACCTTCGCGGCTACGTGGAAGGCAGCCAGTACGATCGGGACAAGAAGAGCGGTTGGCCGGTCCACGAGGAGGCGACTTGCTATGACCGTGAAGCAGGCGCATGGCGCTTGCAGCACACGGAGGAGGACCACGGCGACGTATCTCGTTGATCTCATGGAGGTGCTCCGCTGCCACCAGGACTTCCAGATGTGCGATGACGATGGCCTGCTGCGCGCCTATGTCACCAAGTACGTGAGCAAGTTCTCGGACGCGGCCAGCGAGGAGTGGCTCAACGACGACGCCGAGGCCATGGGCATCGCCGCCACCGTCCTGATGCGCTACAGGCCGCTCGAACCCGAGATGGTGCTGCAGCTCTTCGGCGCCAAGTTCCGGCAATGGCACCTCTCCACCGTCAGCGGCGGCAAGCGCGATTTGGTCGCACCTTACCCCGACCAGGATCCCAAGACGCGGGAGGTGGAGCTGTACGAGAAGACGGAGTGGGCTCGCGGCCGCATCAGCCTCCTTGACTACCTCCGCAAGACGACCGCCGAGGGGAAGATCTGCCACTGGCTGAAGAAGAAGCACCAGCAGTCCGAAAGCGAGGCCACCCTCGAGGAGTTCGCGGCCAATTACGTGATGCAGGGCGAGAAGGTGGTGGCTGCGGAGACGGTCTCCAAGTTGAGCGACCGCTACTTCGGCCAGTGGCTCATGCTTAACGTGCCGTTCGAGAATGCCGCAGATTTCTGCTTGCCCGACGATGTGGCCAGGCGGCTGCCGGAGGCCCACAAGTACTTTGCCATGGCGGTCCTCTGCGAGCACCCCGTAGCGCAGGCGATGTGGCACGATGATGACAAGATCCGCACAGAGCTGAAGATGGAGGCCCACACTAAGGATCACGTGGACACCATCCTGGCCATGATCCGGGCGCACCGCGGCTTGCTTCAGGACTACCTCGATGGCTCCCTGGATGCCCGGGCTGAGCGGCAGGTCCAGGACAATCGCCACGTCAAGAAGAAGGCCAAGTCCAGCAAGCCCGGGGTTCTGCCAGACCCTAGCAAGTTCAATCGGCAGCAGCGCCGCGCCCTGCCTGGATATATATGCATGTTAACTGTGTTGTACTTACTCGTCCCACGCAGCGCATGTCGTGTCGAGAGCATGTTAGCGCCCGCAACTCTGTTTGTGTGACAGGTTTCAAAGACCTCGTGGACAACGCGGTGGACCGTGCGCTGGCTATCGAGGAGGCGGATGAAGGCGAGGCGGACCGTCTGCGACAGGAGGCGCAGGGCAGCAAGGCCAACATCTGCCTCGGGCCACCTGGGACCGGCAAGACCACGGTAATCTTCTCGTGCATCGACCGCGCCTTGGCCAGGGGTGGCAAGGTGCTGATGGCCTTGCCGACGGCACAGTTGGCCAGCCGCATGAAGGCACGCTATGGGGACAGAGTGGACATCGACACCTGCCACGCGGCCTTTGGTCTGCACGAGGCTGCAGAGCACGGCGAGGCATCTTTGTTAAGCATTTACTCCTTGGTCGTCGTGGACGAGCTCTCGCAGCTCGATATGGTCAACTTCGACAAGATCCTGCGGCTCTGGGCGGCTGCCGAGCGCGTGCCGGCCCTAGCCCTGCTAGGCGACCGGTACCAGATGGCGGGCATGGGCGAACAGCGACCGTGGCACTCGCGCCTCTGGACGACCATGTGCTACCGGGTGGCCCTTCACAAGATGTACCGCTGCAAGGACAAAGTGCATGCGAAGTTGCTAGCAGTGCTGCGGACCAGCAAGCCCAACAACAAGCTCCTCAGGCAACTCCGTAAGAAGCTGGCATGGCGACCGCCGGGCAAGCCCACAGTCAAGGCACTTAGGAAGCTCTTGAAATGTAGGCCTGATACCACGATCCTCACATGCACTAGGCGGGGGGCTGCTGTAGTGAATAAGGTTGCCCTGCAAGCCCTCTTCCCTCACTATCCACCCGTAGCAACCTTGCCTGCTGACGTGGACTCCAACCCCGAGAATTACGCACAGGGCAAGTTGAGGCCGGTCGCAGAGTTGGAGCCATCGGCGATGCCCGTGTACAAGGGCATGCGAGTTTACCTGACGCGCAACGTGCGGAAGGATGTCGACTTTGTCAACGGCATGGAGGCAACGGTCCTCAAGTATGACAACCTCACTGGCGGGCTGCTGGTGCGCACCGTCACCGGCTATGTGGTCAGCGTGTGGCCTTGGACCGATCCGGACCGGGGCGGCCTCGCCTACTACCCTGTCAGGCCCGGCTACGCCTCCACCATCCTGAAGTTTCAGGGCGCAGAGCTTCCCCACGTGGTCGTCTACTTGGACGCTCCCAAGGTTCCGGCAGCTGCTTACACCGCCATCAGCAGGGTCGGCTACTACAAAGACTTCTTGTTGGCGGGCATCTTGACAGCCGACCATTTCACGCCGGCCAGATGAGGGGCTGCTTGCACAGAAGAGGGGCGTTTCACCTCTCGGGCGACACATATACAGGTTGCCCGCAACAATCAACAAGCTGCGACTGCCGCAGGGCATGCAGGCCTCTGACGAGCACGGCAATGTTTGTAGGCAGTGCGCCCAGCGTAAGCTTGGTTTCTGGAAGCTGTATAATAGGTAATCTCACGGCCAGCCGTATATATAATAGTTTAATAGTGTAAGCGTGAGTTATGTGCACCAGCCATACAACGCCAATGTGGTTTATGCATATAGACTATAGTTAGGTGTAACATGCAGCAGGATTGGTGCAGGATGGCAAGTGGAACCGTTCGATCTCGCGGCAGCCTCGCCCTCTCTAATTGGGGGTTGGTGGCGGGTGCACGCTTTCACCGCGAGAGGACGAGGCGGCCGACTTTGGCCTATGATTTGCTTTGGCATCCTGCACCTAGGGCGCGTTTCACCCAGTCCATTGTGCAAGAGCTGCTGGTGCCGCGCAACAAGATATCGCGCAGGCCCGCGCAGAGCACAGTAGCAGCGTAGAGTAACATCAGCCTGCCACAGGACAGAACTATTGGAAGCGCTGAAACACTGTGGCCGAAGGTTGCCATTCATGCGGGTTGCGTCGTGCATGCTTCCTGTAGCGCCGCATTCTTGCCACATTGCAAAGATCCATGAACTTTGTCGCGCGCCGCTTGCCTAGATGTGCTGTAGATGAAGGAGTAGAGAAGGGTCCATGTAAGAAGGGCGGGGGACCCATTCCAGCATTCAAGATACTGCACCTGGAAAACCTTTCAGCATGTCCTCCAGACGAGCAGCGTTTCCTTTCGCAGCAATCTTGGCTCTTAGCGAAGGTATCAATCAATGCATGTGCATCATAAGTATGTTTATGATGGCAAAAAAGCCAGGTCTCAAGACCATATCTCCCCCCTTGATAGGGGGGCTGGGGGGTAGACAACCCTAAACCCGTCCAAGGTTTGTAATTTGGGTGGGAGGCGTGGGCACTCCAGCGATTGCGCCGACCCCCCTACCACTTTATGGGGGGGGTCGAGCGCACCCGCAGCGAAAACCCTAAACCCTAAACCCTAAACCCTAAACCCTGGTGCGGTTTATGTTTTGGGGGGGTCGGAAAGCAACCTCAGCCGCGGCCCTTCTGTACAGTTGAGGCAAAGGCTTCCTTTGGCAAGGACCTGTGCCGAGGGGTGGGTTTAGGGTTTAGGGTTCAGGGTTCAGGGTTTAGGGTTTAGGGTTTAGGGTTTAGGGTTTAGGGTTTAGGGTTTAGGGTTTAGGGTTGAGGGTTTAGGGTTTAGGGTTTAGGGTTCGGGTTTAGGGTTTAGGGTTCAGGGTTCAGGGTTTAGGGTTTAGGGCTTAGGGCCGTGGTTCAGGGTTCAGGGTTTAGGTTTAGGGTTCGGGTTTAAAGTTTAGGGTTTAGGGTTTAGGGCTTAAGGTTTAGGGTTTAGGGTTTGGGGTTTAGCGCTTTGGGGCCTGGGTTGTGTGGCCTGAATTGGCCTTCTTGTGGGACGAAACAAAGGGAAAGCTAAAAAGAACATGGCATCTGGTGCACCCTGAACGCCTACATCCTAAACCCTGCACCCCTCAACCGGACCCCCAAACAAAACCTAGATCCACGAAGCCTTCTGAACACCTGGGGCTGTACACCCTCCCTGAAACCTAACCCCTGCACCCTGACCCATTAGCCCCAAACCTTGAAACCCCAATACCTAAATCCTGAACCCGGTTGTCAAGAGGATCTCAGACTTACCACCCTGTACCCAAGACCTACGCCATCACACAAACCATGAACCCTAAAACCCTGAAACCCAAAATCCTTAAAACCCTAAAACCCTAGAACCCTAAAACCCTAAAACCCTAAAACCCTAAAACCCTAAAACCCTAAAACCCTAAAACCTACACCCAATAAGTGCGGAGAATCGGGTCCAAGCCCAAATTAAAAATGAACAAAAACAAAAACTTCAACTAAAACACTGGAACCCTAAAACGCCTTAGAACCCCAACCCCAACCCCCCCCCGCCCCCCCAAACCTCAAAGCCCTACAATGAAGATTGGGATGTTCCCCTTATACTAGCAATCCTTGATAGGGATTGTCGTATCCCCATTAAATCCCTACTAAGGACTGCTAGTATAAGGGGGGGGCAACATCCCACCCCTAAACCCTAAACCCTAAACCCTAAACCCTAAGCCCTAAACCCTAAACCCTAAACCCTAAACCCTAAACCCCACACCCTAAACCCTAAGCCCTAAACCTAAGAGAGAGAGACCCAGAGAAAAGCTGCGAAGCCTCGGATCTGAAGGCCTCAGGCCGACTCTCACGAGCTGCCCGTCAGAACGGACCTCGCGCGTAGGTGCTTCAGGGGGTTTAGGGCCTTTGGCTTTGGGGTTTAGGGTTTGGGGTTTAGGGTTTAGGGTTTAGGGTTTAGGGTTTAGGGTTCAGGGTTTAGGGTTTAGGGTTGGGTGTTTAGTTTAGGATTGAGGGTTTGGGGTTGAGGGTTTGGGGTTTGGGGTTTGGGGTTTGGGATTTAGGGTTTGATGTCGAGGGTTTAGGGTTTAGGGTTTGGGGTTCGGAGTTTGGAGTTTAAGGGTTTGATGTCGAGGGTTTAGGGTTTAGGGTTTGAAGCTCTAAAGTCCCAAAACCCCAAACAACCCAAAACCCCAAAAAGAACCAAAATCGGTTCGGAAGGGTTCAGGGTTTAGGGTTTAGGGTTTAGGGCTTCGGGCTTAGGGCTTCAGGTGTTCCGAGGGCCTTGATCTGAGCCGGGGCACTGTATCCGGCTCCGGCAGATGGGGCACGTGCGAGGGGCTGCGAGCATGGAGACGCCTCAGGTTTAGGGTTTAGGGTTTAGGGTTTCAGGTTTCGGGTTTAGGGTTTAGGGTTCAGGGTTGGGCACATTGAATCATTGAAAGTCTTGCAGCTGCCTCATGAAAGGAAATGGCAGGCCCCCATCTGGAAACCCCCCGCGGAGTGCTACAGGATGTCATAGGAATGAATTCATCTGCCTGGGTCCATATGCTCTCGGAACGCATGAAAGATTCTACATTCTTAGGGTTCCCCGCTTTGTGTCCTCCATTGACGACCCTGGTCAAGCCCCTAAACCCCAAAAGCCTAAACCCTAAAACCCTAAAACCCTAAAACCCTAATACCCTAAAACCCTCAACCCTGAAACCCCAAAACCACAAAACCCTAAAACCCTAAAACCCTAAAACCCTAAACCCTAAACCCTCAACACCCTGCAGGGCCAAGGCACACTGCTGGCACATGGCCATGTGGCCGCAGGGCTGCAGGCAGGTGGTGATCGCGCGCTCGTAGCAGATGACACATTCGCCATCCTGGCATGAGTTAGGGTTCAGGGGTTAGGGTTAAGGGTTTTTCAAAGATCCTCTAAGGGAATATCGGGGAAATATTCGGAGTAGATTGAGGGAATCTTTGAGATCCTTCGGAGTCCGCAACTAAGGGAATGTCAGGGCCATATCCGGAGTAGACTAAGGGAATCTGTTTTGGATCCTTCCGGGGTCCGAAAGTATGACTGCCTTGATATACCACCTCGCTAGGCCCTTTAACGCCTGAAATGCAAACAACACCCTAAAGCCCTAGGACCCCCTAAAGCCCAAGACCCTGAACCCCACGACGGACCTCTAACACTCCTCCCCGACCCCCCCTCACAACCCTAAAACTCTTTACCTCAAACGCCTAAACTCCTGAATCCTGAGCACCCCAAAGCTTGCAAACCCCAATGTCCTAAGCCCTAAACCCGTGCTCGAATCCCAAAACCTAAAAGACCTAAACCTCGACAAAACCTAAAGCTCGAAACAGCCCTCATGAACCAAAAACAAAACACCCCCAAGAAGCACACTCAGAACCCAAAACCCTAAAACCCCTCCGCTCTCATAAAACACATAAGCACCTGAAGAACCCCCGAAAACCTGGAGCAAAAAACACACCTCGGAGCAAGAATACCGTCAGAAGCCTTGCACAAAACGCGTGAAACACACTTGCTAAGAATTGAAAGCATTTATAATATGTGTCCCTAAACCCTCAACCCTACACCCTCAAGCCCCTGCAACTTGAAATTCTTCAACAATTAAACACACGAACTTTCCTCGCAACTTTCCCTGGACCTGAACCCCTAATAATTGCAATAAACCCTAAACCCTAAACCCTAAACCCTAAATCCTAAACCCTAAACCCTAAACCCTAAACCCTAAACCGAATTAAAAGAGGAAAAAGCTCCTGGCCTCTGCCACCTGAAAGACCTGCGCCGCAGGGGGTGCGGAGGGCTGGAAGTCCGCCGCCGGCCAGATGTGAAAGCGTCCGTCACCTTTGGAGGGTTTAGGGTTTGGGGTTTAGGGTTTAGGGTTTAGGGTTTAGGGTTTAGGGTTTGGGGTTTAGGGTTTAGGGATTAGGGCTCAGGGGCTCAAAAGGTTAAGGTTTCGGGTGTTCGGGCTTAGGGCGCACATCCCGGGCCCGTGAACCCCCGAACACCCCTTGGAAGCCCAGCGAACCTCCACAACCTCCAATCCCGAAAGCCTCCGAAGCCCGCCCCCAACGCACGCGAACAAGGTTTATAGGAGGCCTTTCAGGCACCCTAAACCCTAAACCCTAAACCCTAAACCCTAAACTCTGCGACCAGGGGCTGTTGGTCCCCTGATTTCGAATCTGCCAGGTTCCTCGGAAGCCGGCCCCCAGGTTGTCTCCAATGAGCCTGCTTTCAGCGCTTCGGGCTTAGGGGGGTTTGGGGTTTAGGGCTTGGGGTTTGGGGTTTGGGGTTTGGGGTTCAGGGTTTAGGGTTTAGGGTTTAGGGTTTAGGGTTTAGGGTTGAGGGTTTTGGAAGTTTAGAGTCTTAGGGGTTTAGGGCTTTAGGGGTTCAGGGTTGAGGAGCTTAGACGTTTAACAGGGGGGCTTAGGAAGCTCAAGGGAGTTTAGGGTTGCGGGTTTCGTGAGTTTAGGTCGAGGGTTCAGTTGTTCGCGTGCTCGTCTTTCTCTTGTGTGT